AGCCCAGAAGGTTGAGGCTGCAGTGAGCTGTGATCGTGCCACTGCACTCCAGCCTGGGCTACAGAGCAAGACCCTGTCTCAACAACAAAAACAAAACAACATCGATGAGACCAGTTTCTGCCTTAGTGACACACGTGAAGAAAAACTCTGATGCCGCCGTGGTTGTGTTGGCAGCTCACAACCTCACCACGTTGAATGTTGTCATACGGGCTGCACCAGTGCATGCTTCAGCTTGGATCACTTTAAGGAGGAGATGGAAGCCGAGGCTGGAAACCTGGCCATGTGCCAGGAATCTCACACCCACCCCTGTGTACTTCTGTAAACAGATGGCAGCACAAGTGCGGGGCTCCACTGCTCCGGTTTTTCTGATGAGGAAACCTAAGTCCAAAATCCCACTACTTGAAGACAGTGAAGGCAGGAATCATCCCCGGGCCAGCTAGATCCCAAGGCCACCACAGGCTTGTGACTGGATCACCTGTCTCCTAATCACGGCCATTCCCAGCCCCGTCCTTGCAGTCTGCTGGCCTGACCCACCGCAGGACAGCTGGAACCCACAGTGGGTGTCGTTGGTCTCTGGCACACACCTGCTTCTCCCTCACTCCCCCACTTCCCCCCCAAGGCCCATCTTGCTAAGGTGGAATGAAGGAATTGAAAACACCAGCTCTGCAGGCAGGGGCGGGCACGGTGTATCCTGCAGCAATGCCTTAGCCTGCCGAGGCCCCTCCTTGCCTGTCTGTCAACTGGGCACAATCACGCCACCTCCTTTTTGGATCCACAGAAAACGACTTTGCCTGAGGCCAGGCACTAGGGGCCACCTTCCCCAAGCACACTCCTCTCACCCATCCTGCTGGGTCTCCCTGATTTTCCCGTCTCTTCCAGGGTCCAGGTCCACGTCTTCCTCCAGCTGGAGGGAAGATGGTCTGGTGGGCGTGGTTAGTATCAGGGAGCAGAGAGACCCCAGCTGAATGACAGAATCTGTATAAAGTGGCCGGCAGGCTGCCCAGTGCACAGTCTGCTCAGCAAGGGTTTTTCTCTTCTGCTTGGTCCCCGCCGTCGGATGCACAGAACCCGTATTCTCCTGGTCGCTGCTGTCCAGCGGCAGGTTCCTGATAGCTCACACCCCCGCTGAGGTTCCACGCGGCTTGGATCAGCGGCTCATCACAGGGTGCATCACAGGGCCCTCCCTCCAGACCTGCTGGGTCCATCTTCAGGGAAGAGGCCCAGGCACGTGTATCTTTCAGAGGCTGACACCCTGGGTAAGAGTCTCTGCGTTGAGCAACCCAGGACGCCTCTGGTGAGTTCATCCTAACAAGGTCCCGGGATGCACGGATATTCAGGACCACCTGGAGATAGGCCTCAAACCTGGGTTCAGCTCTCAGACCACTCGAGACTGCTGCAGGAGGCTCTCATCTTCTTTGTAGATAATATTTCAATGGGTCAGAAATAACCTTCTGATTGGGAATGGAAGAAGAAAGGCATCGAATGGTTGGTTTTCTTCTGTGTAATCCTACAGGGGTACACCAAGAGTTTATTTTCTGTATTACAATGAAACTTTGTAAAAACTTTAATGTTAGCCAACGAAATGCATTTGCCTTTTTTTTTTTTTTTTTCCCACCCTCCCCGCAATTTGCTTTTTTTTTTTTTTTTTTTTTTTTTTTTTTTTTTTTTATTGGAGTCTCACTGTGTCACTCAGGCTAGAATGCAGTGGCATGATCTCAGCTCACTGCAATCTCCACTTCCTGGGTTTAAGTGATTCTCTTGCTTCAGCCTCCCGAATAGCTGGGATTACAGGCATGCACCACCACACCCGGTAATGTTGTGTTTTCAATAGAGACAGGGCTTCACCATGTTGTCAGGCTTGTCTCGAACTCCTGACCTCAGGTGATCCACACGCCTTGGCCTCTCAAAGTGCTGGGATTACAGGCATGAGCCACGTGGCCGGCCACATTTGCATAGTTTTTTTTTTTTTTTTTTTTTTTTTTTTTTTTTTTTTTTTTTTTTTGAGACGGAGTCTCGCTCTGTCACCCAGGCTGGAGTGCAGTGGCCGGATCTCTGCTCACTGCAAGCTCCGCCTTCCGGGTTTACGCCATTCTCCTGCCTCAGCCTCCTGAGTAGCTGGGACTACAGGCGCCCGCCACCTCGCCCGGCTAGTTTTTTGTATTTTTTAGTAGAGACGGGGTTTCACTGTGTTAGCCAGGATGGTCTCGATCTCCTGACCTCGTGATCCTCCCGTCTCGGCCTCCCAAAGTGCTGGGATTACAGGCTTGAGCCACCGCGCCCGGCTACATTTGCATAGTTTTAAAAGAAAATAGCGCTACCCAGCCATAAGAATAACCCGATGTCCTTGCCATCGCCCACTCCGGAATCCCCTGCAGAGAATCACTCATAGCTCTTTGCTCCTCTACCTTTATTGTGTCCATATTTCCAAATCATATGCTTATAGCATAATTTTGAAAATGTCAACAGCACCAGTTACATGGGAAGATAAATATTTAGCTCATTCGTGCTCCTACCTCTAACTCTCTCTACTGCGTGTGTCCCCGCAGAGGCTACACGGGTCTCCATTCAATCCCTGCCTGTGATGGTAACAAGATTACATGACTGCATGTCAGTGCGTGTGCTACATGCTACATGCCGCCCCTGTGTTCATGCATTTTCACTGCATCTTCTTTCTTATACGACCTTTTTTCCTTGAAGATAATCATCGCCTCCCTCTTTCATTTTCTTAGCTTTCTTTTTTGAGACAGAGTCTCGCTTTGTTGCCCAGGCTGGAGTGCAGTGGCGCCATCTCAGCTCACTGCAACCTCTGCCTCCCTGGTTCAAGTGATTCTCCTGCCTCAGCCTCCTGAGTAGCTGGGATTACAAGGGCCCACCACCATGCCCAACTAATTTTTGTATTTTTTGTAGAGACAGGGTTTCACCATGTTGGCCAGGTTGGTCTTGAACTCCTGACCTCAAGTGATCCTCCTGCCTCAGCCTCCCAAAGTGCTGGGATTACAGGCATGAGCCACTGTGCCCAGCCTCATTTCCTTAGCTTTCTGTATACTTTCTACTAGTTCACAGCCATACACTCATATTTGTCAGTGCCATTCTATATATATTTTTTTTTCTGGAGACATCCCTCCTGTCACCCTTTGGCATCCTGCCCCAATCTGATGGTGACTTTCTAAACTTGCTGCATACTTCTATACTCAGGCTGCACTTCACAGGTGCCAGGAATTCCCTCTACCTCTCTCATAAGCCCTTATTTTCTGCATTCCATGATGCCTTCCTCCTTGATTTATCTGTTTAATTTAGTGGAATGTATTCTGTAGTAGCTTCCTGGGAAAGGGTGCATGAAACATCAACAGTTAAAATATTTTTCTGATCTTTTAGTGATGGATAATTTGGCTGGGTATGTTAGTCACAAGTAGGAAATATTTGTCTTCAAAATGTTCAAAGTGAACGGTGGTGGTGGCATAGCGTTTAATCTTTCTAAATCCCAAAATTAGAGCAACTAGACAGCAAAACCAAAAACCTATGAATCACATTGACAACAAAATTACATAACAAAGTATCCCCACGAACCTTTGGATTGGGGGTGTGAGTACAAGTGGGTGTGTGAGGAGATGTAATAAGGGAGTCTTCAGAAGGATTAGACTTTCTGCATTTTACTAAATACAAAACTTTAAAACAGCAAAATGCATGATGAAGATTTCTTAAAATGATATTTTACATAGAGAATTTCACTTTAACTAAAAGAACTTGTTTCAAACAGCAAGTAGGTTAAGTTTAAACCAGTACCTTTCCACTATAAACCATTTTCTGAAAATTTTCTCCTGTTCTTCAATCTGAAATATAAAGGAAGGGAGGCTTGCCAATTTTGGATAGAAACGATCAGTCTCTGGACTAGCTTAGCAGGAAGCTAAATTATCGTGCTTGGGTTAGTGTGACATCTCACATGAAAAGAAAATGCCTGGAGAATCTCTGCAGCCAGAGAGGCTACGGTGCTCCACTCCCTTCAGTCTACTTTCAGAAGCCGTGAGAAAGGTTTTGGGCACACATCGTCAGCCAGAACCCAACACGCTGAGCACGCCGTGCTGCAGTCTGTGTACCTGACGTGCCTCCAGCCTTTGAAGATAAAAATAAAAAGTCTTTTGCCCCCGACGAATCAAATCAAATTAAATTAAAATGTCATCAAGTTCCCTGTGCCCACTTTGAAATATTATTAATAACAACAGCATTTGCATTCATTTCTATCTTCAAGGCCTTTCCTGAACACCCATATTTTCCAGCTCTTCAAGGGGAGCATCTGCTGAACGGGACGGGTGAAGTGATGGGAAGCAGAGGATCAGGCCTGCTCATTGTGTGATGGGGGATGTGGGAGTGTCTGCGGGACACTGGCCGGAGCGTGTGTCTTTCACAGATGTAAGTGCAAGGGTGATTCTGAGTGTGCTCTCAGGTTCGCAAGGCTCTTAATGAACCTCTTGATCACCTGTTTGGGCTCTGATTTTCCATTGTTCAGAATTCCATATAAATTATAATGGAAAAAATTTTAAAAATTAACTCTTTTAGTTGTTGTTATTCCTGAGGACTCGGAACCGTGACTGATGCGAGGCTGGTGAGGCCGTGTGAGCCTTGGGTCAGTAGCGGGCAGGGCTCGGAACCTCTTGCCACTCCCTGAACCCTGGTGTGACCGGATGTCCCACTTTTCCCTTAAGCTGACTTTCTCCGCTTCCCTCCCTCCCTCCCCACTTCCTTTCCTCCCGCCTGCTCCCACCCCTCCCAGTCTGCCCGTTTTCCTCCATTTATTGGCACTGGATGCCCACACCCAGGGCACACTAGGAAGCTGCTGAGGGCGAGCAGGCCTCATGACAATGTCATCAGATCAGGGTTTGCTTCAGAGGCAGGTGGGGAAGAGGAGGTACAAGATGTTCGTCTTGATCTCTGCTCTATGAGAATCGATACCACCAGACTTCCTCAGCGTAAAGAAAATGTCAATAGCTTTGTGGCTTTTGGACCCAAATGAGTATTAAGTGGCTGCTTATTTTTAAGGCTCATTTTTAAGGGACCATTTTTAAACCCTGTTGTTTGCTATAATACAATTATAAAATAATTTTACTTTTGTAAGCTTTACTGTAAAGAATCTGATCCTATTACCCAACTTAGGGTATATTAACTAGATTTGGTTGCTTTTTATAGCATGAAATACAAACTTCTCCAACTGGTCATCACAGTCTCTCATAATCTGGCCAACCTCTACGTATTCATCCAGATTTCCTTCCTTTCTCAGCATTGCTGTCTCATCCCCCTGGAACATCTTCCACCTCATCCACCAGACTGAGCGCTACGGTGCTCCCCTCGTTCCTGAGCCGCTTCTGTCCCCAGGACTTCAGGAGACACAGTTCTGATAGGGCTCACAACATTCCCACCCCATGCTGGGGGGCTCCATTGCAATCCCCTGTCCTGGATGGGAACAGAGCCTGATGTCCCTCCCTTGATCAGGTTACATTCTCTTGTAAAGATGAAGGAATTCTTCAGTGGAATTAAGATCCCTAATCAGTCAACTTTGAGCTAGTCAAAGGGAAGGTTATCTTGGGTGGAACTGGATACAAGATAGGGAAAGTCAGAGAGATGCGAGGCTGCAGAGATGTGCTCCTGTTGGCCTTGAGGGAGCAAACCGCCGTGCTTTGTGGGGAGCCACATGAGAGGGAGCAGAGGGGCCTCCAGTAACTGAGAGCAGGTCCCAGCGGGCAGCAGCAGGAAACGGGGGCCTCAGTCCCACAAGCAGGAGGAACTGAATGCTGCCAACAACCAGTAAGCTTGGAAGGTGACCTTGACCTTCAGATGAGCACCTGGCCCAGCAGCACCTTGACTTCAGCCTTGTGAGGCCCCAGTCAGAGGACCTAGCTGGTCACATGCAGACTTTTGACCCATGGAAACAAAGAGTGAGAAATGTGTATGGTTTTAAGCACCTAAGCCTGGGATCATTTGCTGTACAGCAAAAAGAAACTAATACAGGGGCCGGGCGTGGTGGCTCATGCCTGTAATCCCAGCACTTTGGGAGGCTAAGGTGGGCAGATCACCAGAGCTCAGGAGTTTGAGACTAGCCTGGGCAACGTGGGGAAACCTCATCTCTACTAAAAATACAAAAATTAGCTGGGCGTGGTGGTGGGTGCCTGTAATCCCAGCTACTGAGGCTGAGACAGGACAATCTCTTGAACCTGGGAGGCAGAGGTTGCAGTGAGCCGAGATCGCGCCACTGAACTCCAGCCTGAGCGACAGAGCAAGACTCTGTCTCAAAAAAGAGGAAGGAAGGGAGGGAGGGAGGGAGGGAAAGAAACTTCATCTCAAAAAGGAGAGAGAGAAAGAGAGAAAGGAAATAGAGAAAAAGAAAGAAAGAAAGAAGAAAGACTCCATCTCAAAAAAAAGAGAGAAAGGAAAGAGAGAAAGAAAGAAAGAAAGAGAAAGAAAAAAGACTCCATCTCAAAAAAAAAAGAGAGAAAGAAAGACTCCATCTAAAAAAAAAAAAGAGAGAGAGAAACAAAGACAGGTATCCTGTGGCACATGGTGTGGTCTTCTAGCACTTTCTCTGCTAGAGAGAGTGCTAGAACTGTAATTTTTTGATGCTATGATGGCCTCTTGCACTGCTTTTGTGAATTCCTTCAGTGGAGGGACATTCACGTCGCCACCGTTGTTTGCAAAGCACCGGTTTTTGCAGCCCCCATGCTGGTTTGTGCTTCTGTTCCGTGAGCACTTGGCCTCTCAAAGTGCTGGGATTACAGACCCTGACAGTCATCCCTGTTGCAGATGTGAGCCTCCAGGCTGTGGGGCATTGGGACACATCTCTTGGTGTCTTCCATGCCCTCCCTGTTCACCCCAGCTGCTTCCCCAACACATCAACTGTGTATCACGTTCCCTCCACCTGTGGAGGCTGGCCTCAGGTTCCTCCTCTTGGTGGGGCCTGCTGGAGGATGTCGGGATGGTTTCTGGGCCTCCAGCTTTCCCAGCTTTCCCAGCTTTCTCAGCAGGCACCCATGCCTGCCTCTACAGCCTTGCTCTCCCTCCTGGAGGTGCTACTGTGCATGGCCTCGGACGGAGGATCGTTCCAACAGCCACTCGCTCCTTACTGCTTCAGGTGAGCAGCTATTCCTTATACACCCCCTCTTTGGCACCTGATCTGGGAGGGGACCATTTGGTGCGGAACGGGCAAGGTATGGTCTTTAACTACAAGGAATGTGAGGAGAGAGGCTCCTCTTTCTGTTCCCTGGGACAGCCAGTGTGTGGTGTTGGACCAAAGCACACAGATATTAGTTATTCTTGGACCAGGGACCCAAAGGAACGTTTGCAGCTCAGACCCAGCCAGACTTGGCTGCAGCTCCCGCCCCGCAACCTCTCTTGGTAATTTTCTGAGCCGTTTCTAATCCTGGCTTTCTGGCCTCCTTCAATTCTGTGAGCCCCTGTATCCTTTCAGTTAATTACCTCTGACTCCTAAGATAGCATGATTCGGCCAGGTGCAGTAGCTCACACCTGTAATCCCAGCACTTTGGGAGGCCAAGATGGGCAGATCACCTGAGGTCAGAAGTTTGAGACCAGCCTGGCCAGCATGATGAAACCCCATCTCTACTAAAAATACAAAAATCGACTGGCATGGTGGCAGGTGCCTGTAATCCCAGCTACTCGGGAGGCTGAGGCAGGAGAATCGCTTTAACCCAGGAGGTGGAGGTTGCAGTGAGCCGAGATTGCACCACTGTACTCCAGCCTGTG